CTCCGCCTGGAGTCTGGCAGTAAACATAACCTTTCCCTTCCTCGATTCAATCATACCACCGAATTACTGCAGCATCCAAATACTTGGATGCGGCCGTACAACCGGACACATTCGCTGTTGCCGCGGAAAACAATTTCCCAGCCGCAGGGCTCGTTTTATACCCCTCTCACCCAAGGTTTTGCTGGGAAACTTCCTCCCGTGGATGAATAATACTTGTATAAGAATACGTCCTCATACTCATGAAGGCTGATACAGCGACAATGACTTGATGGATTGTAATGTGTGGTCTGTTCAGATCTGTGAAGGTGTACCGGTGTCTGAGCATGCACCCCGCCATGCCGACGATGGTTTCTCAGCGCATACGCGTTGAAATTGGTTTATTTTCTGGCTATTCGCTCAGGAATGACTTTAGGATGGTACTGGCGCGGACCGGTGCTGTCGCTGGGCAGACGGTGGCGAGGTAGGGGGGTGAAGAACCACCTCCCTAGACCTCTCCCATCGCAATGAGATGGCACAAATGCATTCGTCACTCGCCTAGTCATAATCGACGAGGTACATTGTCTTCTTTGAGATTTTGCATTGTGTCGGATGTTGAAAGCTTATATAGAAGCTCTGGCAAGATCCACGCGGAAACCCGGATGGTTGTCGTCGTTCGTGTCCTACAACATCACAGGTCAGGCGGGAAGAGCCCTTGAGTGATGGGTCTGGGGACATCTTGACGAGCGTAACTTGCTCATAAAGCCATATCTCGGCAGGATTGGTGTCAACTCAGCAATAATAGGCTTGAAACACCGCGTTCTCCGAAGATATGCTATGTCCGTAGTGCCCCAGAACAACATTGAGTAACCCTATGAAGCACGCTCTCCCATAAGAGTCATTCTAGTAGTTTTCAAACACGACTGAGCAGTATCGTTTGTGAATAAACAACAGCAGGGGACGGCGGCGGACGACTTCATGCATCCACCTTGGAGAGCCCCGCCACTCGACGCGCTGAGATGATGTGATTCTTGGTGAACAAGTGCCTACGACGCAACCCGCCTCCTAGATTCTACTTGGAACAATCTCTGGAATCGTTACATTACCCCAGGTCATTCGGAGTTGCAATTCTTGCTTAAGTCTCTGAGAGTGGCCAGTGGTTTGCCATTATATAGCCGTCGTGAGATCCAGCTCTCCTGGCTCCTCGTTGCTGGTCATCGATCACCGACGACAATTGTTGGTGGATAGTAAGCCAACACAGAGGCAGTTTGAATCGAAAGCAGTGATAGCCAATGAAATGAAGCTGTCGATTCTCGTACCATGATGTATCGTGGCGAGCATCGAAAGCAGAGGCCCAGTCTGGGTCATTGACACGTCATGCCTCCCTATAAAAATAGTATCAACAAGATAGTAGCTTCCGGGCGTCAGAACCAATTTGAGCTTTATCCAGCAAAAGACTAATGCGACTTACATGTCTAAAAAAGATGCGCACCGTGATGGAGTATTCCGCACCACAGGAAGGGAGGTGACCAAGCTCAACCCGTGGAAGTGATGCATCTTGTGAATAAGGGCGGACGACGAATAGATGATAGAAAACATAAGGAAATGAAGGAAGATGAAGAATGAACAGCATGTGAGCTGCGTCATTAGGGAAGGTTGGTGCACGGAGCCTAACTCCAGTTCACCACGACGTATGTCACGATGTGGTCCTGGCAAGCTTGTCTGATTTCTGGTTGGTCCCATTGTCTTTCGTATTAACATGAAGACTCGTGCTGTTTTTCATATAAACTTGCAAGCTGTCGATGTATTTTGGTGTGAGATAGCCATTCAACGACACCCACAACGTGAAGTCTCTTCCAATGGATGGGACCCTTTTCAGGTCCCTCGTTGAGTCTCAGGATGACCTGTGCATCAGATTACGTCGGCTTTCAGAGATACTTGACCCTCCATCGAGAAACATCACATATTTCTTTTCTGATTGAATAGATCGACAGAGACGGCGGCGAGGAAGGAAGCCTGACTTCGGTCCCGAGGGGTGACCCTGCTCTGCCGTCACCCTCGGTCGATAACTGAAGCGGGGTAAGGAATAGTAGCGGCTATCTTCCTGAAAGACGCACAGTTCAGCCAAATACATTGTTCCGTTGTGGAAGTCTTGAAATCGCTGATCTACAACCGCTTTATACGCCCACAGCAAAGCAACCATGAGCCCTCCGCCGGAGCGAAGACACCTTCGGGCAAGGCGGAAGCATCCACAGCAAAGTCGGAACTCAGTCCAGGCTGCAGCATTTATGAGTTGCTAAAACTTACTGAGATGAGAATCAGCCCGGCGCTATAAGCTGTGGTACAGGTCGATGTTTGCCCGGGAGAATAACGCATCAAGCGAGCCAATACAGTGCTCTGTGCGACTTTTGACATGAACCGTTATACAAGTGATACACTGCCACGCGATGATTAGCTCGTCCTAGCACAACCACACTACCAAATGACGTGCCCTCTTCGGCGTCGCTTCTCGGTCTTCTCGTCGGTTGGGTATGCAGCCCGTCCAACGGTAACTTGCTCGTCTTGTATTCCATATGTCCTCAAAACCAGCCCTAGGAGTTAGTAATTGTACAATTCTATTTTTTCCGGATTATTTGAACGTTCTCCAGGATTGAAACATTAGCGTCATTGCTTGAGGAATCAAGCGAGCCCTTCAAGACGCCCTATATGTGTGTACTCATCCCAGACTGGTATCAGGCACGAGACTCCTCTGCTGATACGATCCCGTCCACCAATAACGCTCGTTCAAGTCTAATGAGCACGCTTCAGTTAGGTTCAGGAACCCAGGGCCTAGCAGACACATAATGTTCAGTTGGAAGGGGCGTCAGAAACGGCGCTCTGTCAAGAGTATTCATATTTCCCCATCTCATAAATTTGTTTCCAACCCCCCAAGGCAAATGCAGTTGGAAAACATGTTGGAATGATACATTGAGGTCTCAAAATTCATGGTGTATGCGCTGCTTCGCACTAATGGGTATCGTGGTCACCTGGTTCAAGCCTTGATGTTTCTCTACGTCGTCTGCTAGGTATTCAGGTGGTTGACCGCAACAGGCACGGATTAATGATTGGCTTGTTTATCACGGCTCCAAGCACTTGGGAGGCCAAACCTCCAGATGTCTCTGACATGTCGAGCTGAGTTGGGACTTCAAGAATGCGCCGCTTCATTTCTGATCAACATCATTGAGAAATTGCAGTCAACCTTACCCTTCCTTTACATCTGTCTTTGGGAGCTCGCAAGCGCACGCATGACGATGGCCTTAGACCAAAGAGGTATATAGACTTCGAATAGTAGGTGGTCGAGAAGCTTCTCTCACCAAGATTGTCTTGCACTTTGTGGTTGCGAAGTCTATCCAATATCCATTCATTGTGATACATACACCACTGGGTTAATACAGCAACCAATACGACAGAGGTTACGCAACGAATCTGATTCTATTATCTATCATCTGGCTTGAATATCATGGAACTATTCGAATCTTGGGAATACTCATGTATATTAGCATCAGCTGTGGAGAAGACAAGCTCGCGCCTCAAGCGGCGTCGACCTCAATCGGTTCGGGGCAAGTGTAAGATTGGACATCTTAGCTACTACCACAAACAAGGACATTGCGCTTGATTTATAGCACATGGAGTGGAGAAGTGTCCTATTTAAACAAGAGGTCCGCGAGAGCGAAGCCACAAGAGAAGATGTCGACAAATTTGCTGGTCAAGCTGCAGAGACCCGGCTCTGTAATCTACATGAATGCAATCGATTCTATCTGTTATCTTATGACTTGCTCCTGTGAATCAAGAGTAGATGTGTTTCATTGGATGGCTTGTGGCGAAAGCCGTGAGCGTGTCGGTTTCTCGGAGGACGCCGAATCGGGGCCCGGGAACCGTCGGCACAGCTGCCGGCAGGCGTTGCGCTACTCCGATCTATGAGCAACAGTTAATTCCTTTGGCAGCTGAAACATGCGAAGGTCATAGGGCGTCTGGCGCGTTGATATTCAATTGCGAGTGAGTAAATCCGCCGTACTGGATCCTTCAGCGGGTGGTCAGCAAACAACTGCCTGGTAGTGCAATGCCACTAACAACAACACGTGCCAATCAGAGCATTTTCACTGCATTTTGATCTCATCCAAAGGCTCTGCTCGTCAAGGTATTGTTCCCAGACCTCATCCCCACAAGTATCTCAGAAGTATGATGCCATATCAGGAGCGACAACTAGAGTTCTGATGCCATGATTTGGCCGGAGCTCAAGGTTGCTCTTCGCCCGCCTCAGAGCTACCTCGTCACAACCGTCAAGCGCCGGAACGATGGTCGTGATTCTCTCCAGTGTGTCAATTGAATACGCAAGAATACCTGACCTATCTACAACCTCGATCTAACTGCGCAATTCCGACCGGACTGGAGTCTTGTTCAGTCCTGCGTGAGCACTGCAATTTCGATCCCTCCGGAGAGCCTCAGCCATCAGGCTGCCTTACCAGCACCAACTAGTTGGAAGCGCAAACTCGGATACTTTTTGCCGCAAGTATCGGTGACGAGACGTCCTTGCACTGCATTCTGAACCGCCCCCTCCCCCAGAGAGGTTCAATCAGGCTGCCATCAGACCTGACAACACCACAACAACTCAAATCACCTCGCACTTAGTAAACATGGAACAGCAGGTGTAACGTGCGCAAAGAATCGGATTTTTGTATCTCTCCTGTATGCGAAATGCCTGGTATGAATTTCTTTCCCTGTACACGCCACAGCCGAAATGCAGAGCCCAGCGAGGAAACAAAAATAGAAAAACCAGGCCCATCAACCCTCTTTCTTCATTCATTGACCTAATCTTCCCCATAGTCGGGAGTGGTATGTGTGGTGTACGCCGCGACGGGAGGGGGAAAAAAAGGCAGGGGTGGGTAAAAATCATTTGTTTTCCCATGGTGGTTCGCACCGGTTGACCTAATCCGTAGCCATAACGTCGTCCTTTTCGCCCTTTTTTATGCTTGAAAAAACTTCCTTTACATAACGACACCGGAGTTGGAGGCAATACGCTGTTGAGAGACATGTCAGCGGGGTTGTGACCTTGACGGGTGCATGGGGACATGACTTACGGGCCAAAGCTCGGCCGCCTCCTTTCCGACGGGGCCGGTGATGGCAGAGCCCTTCATCTCACCCTTGGGGTTGACGATCTGTGGTGGTGTTGTTAGCCGTGTTCGAGGGTTCCGGCAGCACTGCCGCAGCAGTAGACGGGGGCACTTACGACACCAGCGTTGTCCTCGAAGTACAGGAAGACACCGTCGAAGCGCTTCCAGGGCTTGGACTGGCGGACGATGACGGCGGGGTGGACCTTCTTGCGGAGCTCAGGCTTGCCCTTCTTGACGGTGGCCATGACCATGTCACCGACACCACCGGCAGGCAGTCTGTTGAGGCGGGCACCGATACCCTTGACGGAGATGATGTACAGGTTGCGAGCACCCGAGTTGTCCGCGCAGTTCATGACGGCACCGCTGTGCACCAAGTCAGTCTTTCGTTCTCCGGACGCGCGCCCCGCCATCTCGAAGAGACAGCTGGGCGCGTGGGAGGTGGGAGTTCGTACACGGGGAGACCGAGGGTCATCTTAAGCTTGCCACCAGGGGCACCACGGCTGTAGAACTCCAGTCAGCATTCCTGCGTTCAAGGTCGGTTGGGTCCTCCTTCGACATTCGCGGCATTCGGTCTCGGCGGTCGGCGGGCAGATCGCAGGATATTTGTCTCCAAGTTCAGATGTCGCATTCGATATTCCGTCGCAGTCGAGTCCCTTGATAAAATTCCTCCACGTTTGCTCTGCCAATCGAGACCCAAAGTAGGTGATGCCCTCCTCTTTCCCTGCGTAGTGGTTGCATGTCGTATCGTTGCGTCGTCCGCCCGCCTGGATCGCCGAGTACCTCACGTCGCTCCCCCGGGGGAAAACGGCGGCGCCGAAAAATGCAGAGTCGATGGTTCGAGAGCAGCAGTGTCGACTTACGAGAGTTTGGCCATTGTGTCGGTTGGGGGGTGTCGAGTTCAACAACGGGTGGCTCGTGAAAGGATGGATGGGCGTCGGGTCGAATTGGAGTCGTGCTGCAGCTGGAAATTTTCCCTCTACTGAGATTGTTTTTTCGCCCGTGGGGTCACCAAACCCTACCAAAATTCACAGAAGCGAGCGTCACGTGGTGATAAGATTGCTGATGGGACGTGCACGGCTCAGCCGGGAAGGTGGGGTCGTCGCGCTCACTTTTCGGCGGGAGACACCGGCTGCACCGACCGAGAGCTCCACACCCTTAGGCTCATCCCCTCGGGAGGGGAATGAATTGCAGTGTAGTGCGACGGGGCCGTCTCTTTGTGCCATTGTGCAAGCAGAGCCTCATGACCAGCTTTTCAGTCGTTCCCCAACCCAACGAACAATATTCTTAGCAGAGACACTGATTGCAGTGAAATGTGGCATTGCTATGATCTGCCTTACAATTGATATTGCGCATTAGTCAACTTATGTTGCGAGACCTTTCCCGATTCAGTCAGCATCTCTCATCAACATGCTTACCTTCAAGCCTTTCGGCAAGCAATCGCCAGATCAGACTCCAGCCCCGGCCGTTTGGGCATCTCATGTAGTTTCGCCCAAACACCTTCTGTTTCCCAGTATCTTACGGCGCACTGCCAAGCCCTCAGAATCTCACAGGGTACCCTGAACTCTGAGTTTTGCAGCTACTTGACGAAACTGTGCGCCCATTCATACAGGGCGTCTGCGGATTTAAGAGTCCCGTTCATTTCGAGTTCTCCAAGGCTGAGTGAGCCTGCATTTCCATCTCTCATTCCGACCGCTTGCGTAGATTCCAATACAGTGGCCGTGCCATAACTCGTGACTCGTTGCGCTACCGAATGGGGAGATTTCCCCTTTTCCTTCCCCAACATTCACGACAAGCCGGTACTGAATTATTTCTTCAATTAATTATGCAGCTTCAATTTCTGGTAGGTTTGTTGTTGCGAGTACGGAAGACACCGACTGCGCCGATTGCATCCCCTCGGGAGGGGGAAAAATTGCAGTGCAGAAGGACCGGGCCAGAAGTCGGGTCGGAGACGCCCATCGAATCCATTCATCCAAGGAAATGTCTGCAACATTCCCCTACATCTTCAAATCAACCAAAATTGAGCGTCATTGCCTGCTGCAAAGGTGTTCATCAGGCAGCATGGATCACGTGGATTTTATAAGATTCAATGATGCTATTATGGCCTTGAGGCGGGCGAATTTGGTGAGTGAAAAGGGCGGCTTCTCCAAATCTGCGACAAAGCCCGTGGTTGGATTTTCCAAGGAGGCCCAGCACCCTGTTCGTAAGCTCCGAACGCTCTCCAACACAGTAAACTGGGCCACTCTTGTTGCACGCAACGCCTTTTTGGGTGCTGCTCTACTAGTGAGTACGTTTTCAAGACTCAGGTCTACTTGCTAAGATGAGGCGCCGTATGAGCGTTGTCTGGCGTAGACTATGATTGCATCACAGTCGTCTGTACGTTTGATGAACTTGTGAGTGTCATAAATGAAGCATTGGCGATGCATGCGTTTTGGCTGATCAGGCTGCAGCTGAAGAACAGTCCGCGGGTCTGGCACTTCCGTCAGCGACCGGAGGTGGAAACGGTACCATACCGGTGACTGACGGCCGATAGGTCCGCGTCTTGAAAGCCCGTCCCCTTGAGAAAGAAATTATTAGCATTGTGACAGCGAGCAAGAGATTCGGAAAACAAACAAATTGACGGAGACCGCATTTTCCAATTTGGTCGTCTTTCATCTGAGGCAGCTGAGGCACTAGCTGCCAGCTACAGTCACCTCAGGTTCATACTCATACCCTGGGACGGGGATGTCCTCTTGATTTCTGTAGGTTTCCTTTCAGCTACCCATACTTATCCTCTCGAGGGGAAAGTGAATTGCAATGAATCGAGAATATCAAAGTGGAAAAATGATTTACTAGGTAGGCAGACTGCGAGACAGGGAAGATTTTGCGCAGAAGTTTTCAGCGGGAGGCTGCACCGACTGAGCGCTCCCCATTCAAACTCATCCCCTCGGGAGGGGAATAGGTTGCAGTGAAGGTTTGTATGATAACATGGTGGATGGATGTGTGGGGCCCTTGGCATTCCTCAATCCAATGGCAAAGGCTCCTTATGACCCGAGCCATGAGACAAGGCAACCACTAAGGCCTTCCTTCCCAGTTCTTACCTAGTAATTACCTACCAAATAGACTGCACTTGGTAGTAGGTATCGCCTGTAAAACACCAAGCGCAGTTATTACACACCTGAGGCTCATCAACGATATCCTCGGGAAAGGGAATAAATTTCTTTGAACGCAACCGCAACTCGGCCCAGGCAAGATTTAGGACAGACGCAGCTGTAAATGGCAACGAACTGACGAGCCATTCAGACCCCAGCGTTCCGCCGCCTTTCCTCAGACTCCATCCTGAACCGTCATCGTAGAACCAACCTCATCGTAGAACCAACCTCATCACACCCCAAGCATGCAGATTTGCCCGAACACCTATCTTCTATCAGAATCTCACAGGGCACAGCTGGGCTTCTACTTGCAGCTATGTCATCAGGCTTATGCCACACAGGACATACAACACTGTAGGTTCACACTTTTGTAGGCACGTACTGGCTTTTCGCTGTTAGGCGCTGTGCCCTTTTCACATCTCTACACACTTACGCTCTCAACTTTGCTGCTGTACGGTCATCAGCGTAGAACGACCTATTCATATGACGCCTGCACTTCAGCCATCAGTGAGAACCTGCGCACTGCAAAGATGGTCCGGGCCAATGTGTAGGAGCCTTTGCAACAGCGATTAGGTTGAGGCTTATTGACTGCACCGAACGTAACGACAGCTCCAGCTTAGCACACTTTCGGCACACTCCCTTGGGCGGGGAAAAGATTGCAGTGAAGCTCCGGTATCACGGCCAAGTCGGCAGATTGCCCCCCGACCGGAGCGGGGCCGCGACGGACCTGCGCCGGCCAATAGCTCCACACGTGAAGATGATCCCTCGAAGAGAAACGGGATTGCAGTGTAGACACTCTTACATGCGTCGATCGATGGATTTACAGGGGCTCAATTGCCCAGGCGCACAATACATGGTGAGCAATATAGCCGTGAAAGCCAAGTCGAGGATGTACTACTCAGACTCATTATCTACCCTTCCATTCTCATTCATATCCTCCATGTGTCCGCATGCAAACATACTGAGTGTCACTGTGTGTTGAAAGAATACGACGCATAACTCTTTCCTCGCCCCGCTCCTCGGCGAAGTCAGGCGAGTTCAAGCTTGATGTGATCATGAACTCAGAACCAACCACGACTAGTTCCGGTTACCTCACCTACATAATCCTAGTTAATTCAAATGCATAAAATATCTAAGATGCTATCGTCAGCCGAGTTGAAAGCGACGACAAAAGCAATTTGATGGAATCCTCATTCCGAGTTTGTCAAAGACAGCAAGCGGCGTGGATCGAATCACAAAGAGGAAGGCCACGAACTGGTGCTGGCCTCACATTAATAAACTCGATTTTCAACATCTGATCTCTTTTATGTATTGCAACTTAATACGTCAACGAGAACAGGGATGATCATGATGAGAGACGGTATAAGTTGTGATCCTCGCCTAACGAGCATCCAGTCTCCCCCGCAAGCCTGACAAGCCAAGACGAATTGGAGGTGAGCTGGTCGAAAATAAACCCTATTTTCGGAACTGGCGATTGCGTGAAGAAGCTTGAATTAACACTCGTTATCGCTGTTTATATACATTTCATGCCTTGTCTCTCTCGACCCTGGGGTCGGAGCTGTCACCCCCGCCATCATAGCAGAGCATCATATGGTCATTCATCTCTGAGGATTAATCTTCTCTACGATAGTATGATTCCAAACACTTCAGAACTAACTTCAACCAAGTGATTGTTGTTATATCGTGAGTTTGTTGAGATGTGTCCAGCATTGCCTCATCGTGAATTATTCCAAACAAGCCCACAATGAAGACGTCAGTAATATTCGTCGAAAAATACAATATCCGTGATGAAACGGGACAAGTCCATCAATTACCTTCAAAAACTCCTCAAACCGCTTTATAAATCCCTCAGACACTCTTATATCACTCTGCTGTCCTCAAATCTCATCAACTTCCCTCCACTAAGCACCATCTCAACCCCTTCTTCACTCCCCTCTCAACTTCCCAAGTAGCAAGTGCACCAACCCAACCATCTGAGAACCTTCTCTCCCGTCAGTTCATTCAAAAGCTCCAACTAGAACGTCCACCACACCCCGGGCGTCCATCCCGTCGCTGTCGCCGTCGCCGTCGCCGTCGCCCTCGCCCTCATCATGGCGGGACACCACCGTGCCGCGCCTGCTTTGCCGACTCCCTAGAAGTGGACGGCGGCTAAGAGTTGACACCACATCATAAACACCAGTAACGCGAAGATGAGAACATAAAGGCGAATCCCAATGGGGTTGTGGGCGAGGTATTGGGAGGTGCGGGATGAAGTATCTCGCGGGGGCGGGATATAGTCGGTC